AATTTTTAATAACACGTTACGCGATAAATTTGAAGCGATATTTACTTAACGAAATTTAAATCAATAGACAAGCTTTAATTTCGGAGACTATTTGTTCACGACGAGGCCTGATGTATTTTCGTATTCTACAAGCTGCGCGATGCCAACAAAGTAAGAAATTAGGTATTCGTGGAAACGAATTTATTACAAATTTCGAAAACGGCATCAGTTTCCACTTTAATACGAAATTTATGCAGATTTTGCGGTGCGATTCGGCAACTTATGGGTGCCTGTCATGAAGGTGTAAAAAAATTTAAATTAAATTTCATTCACTTAGCTGCTTCAATTTCATGCTTGTCTAATTTTTGTTAATATTTTTTATGTTGGAGTGCCATTAAGCTGGAGCGTAAAGATAATTTAATTGTGTTTTTCGCATCGGCAAAAAGTTTTTGAAGGACGTTTAGTTGTTCATTATCATTAGGTTTTATTAGCTTTCCGATGAATTTTAGCGAATTTATTGTCGAATTTGGAACTGATGGAATTTTTTGTGGACGGCGCGGCGATGTCAAGAGGAACGAAACGTGATTAGATAGGTAAATATTTACACGGAGAAACTGATATATTGACATGTACTAGCGAGTTTTTTACTGCTGATAACACGATATTACATTAATCGAACACGGCGCATTTAGTAACCGGTCTTAATCGTTGGGTTTCAAGTAACATATGAATTTACTCGAACTAATTAAGAATTCCAGATTATGTGTCTAAAAGTGATATCGTTACGTAATCAAATGCATTTTTTCACTGTTCTTTTAGGATAAACAAATTTTATGTCATTTCCGGAAAATTATATTCACGCTATTCCATATTTGGTTAAAAGGGTGAAAGCTAAAGATCGCTCGCAAACTTTCTCTTTCCATACGATACGCAGTAATTCACGAAAGCCAAATATAACCTTCTATTATTTACCTGCTTTTTCGTAATATCCCCGACATGCAGATAATACAATTTTCCTCCACACACCAAAAACAAATTTATTAAAAACATACACAGAACGAAGAAAGCAAATTCAAACGTTAATTAAATCCAACAAAAGGCAAATACTACAACCCCAGTCTTCACAAAGCTTTTTGTTAATTAATTTCATTGGCTTCTAATTTTAATTGTTAAGTAAAACAAAAGAAGCAAAATAATTTAAAAACACAGATGTTGTAAATCCAACGCGAGCGTATTAAGCGAAATTCGTTACGCCAAAAAGACATGTTTCAGCTTTTGTTTGTCCTTAGAATGAAGTTTCATATAAGTTTCTCAAAAGCTATTAAGCACAGAAACATGTCCTATCCAGATATCCAAGCCGGCGTATGCAAACTTTTAATAAGTTGGGTCACATTTCCTCCGTGGATGTATATGTATATCGTGCAATAAAAATGTCCCATTTATGTGGCGGACAAAACGTCAGGGCAGAAAGAGATTTAATTAAGTCGGCTCAAAGAGGTGGAAGGGCTGAATTTTTTAAGCGACGAATAGGTACGTGAAAATGGGAAAAAATCACACCTCTGTGCCTGAACGTCCGACCGGCTTTAAAATCCAAAACAAAGAAAATTACTGCAAAGAAATTAGGACAGGTCTAAAGGGATCGCTAAAATGAAATACAAATATATCCACAAAGCAATAAAGCTGAGCCGGAGGCAGTTAGACGAAATTGAAGGCTCTAAGGATAATCAGTGTTTACTTTTAAAATAATGAAACGGTGGACCGGGAAAATTTTCATTTTTAGCAAAAGGTGTAATCGAACCACATTTCTAGTTTATCTGTATCGATTGCGACATGGTCTAGTACACCTCCTGTTTGTTATACAAGTGAGAAATGTCAAGTCACACACAAGTACATAAAATACGCACGGGAACTTCCTCTGGATCTTTGTTGGCAGTCGTTATCTGATTTTTACTATGAATTTGAAATACGTCATCAATAATACTAATAAATTATTCGATGATCAAAATTTGCTTTTTCAATGTTTTGTAAACCTAGGGAGGTGGCACGAGATTACAATCAATATTTATATTAGTAATGAATTCAAGAAAGACACATGTAAAATATACAGTTCAGAAAGTTTTTAGACAATGAGCCATGAAATTTTTGCTTCACGTTGGATAAACTGATTTATTGTCACTTTTGGTTGATTCTCAAGTCGATTGGTTACAAAGATAGGGATGGAAAATACAAAGTGTGAAATTGCTGGCAACAGTATTATTACAGTTTTTGTCAAATTTTCTAACCTTACATTAAAAAATTAAGTAAAGTAGGTAGGTAGTATTTAAGTTTTCCCCGGTAGTTCTAAAGCACACCCGAAAGTATTTGTAGGTAGCGCCAGTAACGTATCGTTCTTCTGTGTTGTATTTTCGGTAAATACAACAGGGCAAAACGAGATCACCTCCGCCGCCTCCCCCAACCGCCAGATTAACTTCGCAGCGACCCAAACCTCTCCCAACGCTGATGAGCCGAATTCTGCTATTCCGATTCGATTCACGGTCACAATCGATTTGTAAAACTATTTGCGTCGGCTCCCGTACGTATCTGTTTCGGGCGTTTATGACGCAATAAAACTAATTCTTCCCCATTCAGTCACAGCTTCGTAGCCAAAGTAAGAGCCCGGAGTGCTCTCCGACTCATCTAAATTTTACAACTCTTGTAGGTACAGTTCTGAAAAGACGACATTTTCTCAACAGAGACGCAACCGGAATGTTGATGTTCCGCCACTAAAATGGTCTTACGCATTCTAAGCGGTAAAATAACGGGGAGACGCTGCGTGCTGGCTGAAGGGAAAATGAGTTGGGGGCGGCGGCGGCGGACGGTTTACAGGACTGGGGCTTGGAACAGTGGGACCCGCGGGACGTCGCGACGCTCCACGGTCCTGCCGCAGCAGCATCAATAAGCGATGACTTATTTATTCGGGTCCCTGCAACCAAAGGAATGGGGGCGGCGGGGGCGACGCGGCGGGCAATTAGGGCAAGAGTTATGCAGCGGGGACGGTTTTTCGGCAGAACGGGGTTAATAGGTTTGGGAATACAACGTGTAGAAGACGTCCGGATTTTTTTTGACTTCTTGTAATCTTCAATTCATGTTAGTCCAACAACAACAAAACGGTAAAAGGATATTTAAAGTGGAAGCGTGAGCTCTGTTATTCAAAATATTTTCGAACATATATTTTATTTAATTTACAACATCTGCTGCTGCTGCTGATTAAATGAAATTATTTTGAATTTTCGACACAAATTCAGTGCTATTTTGATACTGTTTTAAGTAGGTACCGTAATTCCTAATGTTGTTTTTGTCCTGGGGGAGGCATTTACGCACGTTCTCCGAAATCCAAAAATAACCCCGCCGTTCGGAATAACGTTCTGTAAACACCAAAAATCGTGTGCGTTCTTACGTTTTAAGTTGAAATTTGGATTAAAATTTCCTGCTAAAGCGATTTCCGCAACATCAAATATTTATTTAATGCGGCATTCTAGCTTCGAAATTTTGATGTTAACTGCTGGAATAGCTCACGACGTGGTGTACACAAGACGTAGGTACGAGCCGCTGCAGCTAGATGAAAAGCCCCAGCTTTCCTATTCGGCCCCGAAATGCACTACAGTTGACCAACTGCGAAAAGCCGCATAATCTAAAAACTCGGTTTCTTTCCCTTTTCAGGCGCCCGCCTTAAGTTCAGTTAGCCGCAGACAGGTTGTCAATAAGCCCTTTCAAACTCCAAGCTGTTTATTTTTTGTTAGTGTAGGTTTCTCGCAAAAGCATCCCATCGTCCGTGCCTAGCGCAACCCCATCAGATATGAAAATACAAAAAGTGACTTATGAAAGAAAGGCAATATCCTTGTTTTATGAAGTGAGGGTCCGGCAGAAATATTTGTAAAAGAGGGTCACGTCTGCTGTCGATTCATGCAGGAAATGAAAAGCTGGCGGCCAAAGGTGTCGTGATTACGGTTTTGCGATATGTCGACCGCCAAAGCCTCCGACGGAATGGACATTCTTCGAGATTTTATGTTCGTTGGAAGGGAGATTATGTCAGTTACACTGAGATGTTACGGTTGGCGGAAAAACTCGGAAAGAGTGACGGCTCTGACCCGAGCCTTTCAACTGCTCCGGCTGCCCTTTTCTGCTCGGGAGGGATTAACGAGAATTTTGGCGCCATTTCCCGGCGCATCCACCATCCGCGAACATGCTCCTCCCGGAAACTCGAGTCGCAGCATTAACGACCGTCAAGGTCAGTGTCGCACGAATGAACTCTACATCAGCTCTGCTGGGAAAGAACACGCGTTTCGACAGTTCGCGTCTTGTACAATAACAAAATCTGCACCTGATTATTATAAATCATTCATATTTAGTGTTCTTATACTCCGATTCTGATAAAATATAAAAAAAAAATATATAAAAGTGACTCTGCAATGTTAAGTTTTGATTTCTATCTACAGCATTCAATTGTGTCGACCATAGTATTCTTTTACAGAAACTCAAATATTATTGTGTCAGTATGAATAGAATAATGTTAATTGAATCCTTAACTGAATTGTCGAAAAAGTATGGGTGGGTGCTCCACGGGAATCGATATTTGGACCCTTGCTTTTTCTAATTTATATGTATTAATGACTTTCTAATCTGCATGACACTTCAGTTGTTATAAATAATAGAAAGCCAGCTGAATATACTGCTCGGTGCATAATAGCTTATAATTTTAGACGAATGCAAATTTCTTTGTAAATTTAAGCACAATAAAACATATTCTATTCCATTCTATTCATGAATTTTTAACGATGCTGCCAAGGAGTTATCAGTAATCCACATATCAAGCGAGTATTAATATATAATTGAAGCAAAATTTCCGACAAGTTTTAGTTTATACGAGAGATTTTACACTTTAACTCCTTGCGGTCGAACTTGCCGAGTACCTCGTTTTTTTTTGTGGCATCAAGAAAATACTACGTAACTTCAACAGCACCCAGCAACTTTCTCAGTTTTACCTTTCCCGCTGTCTCGGTTCGCCTCCAAGCATTGAAATTCAACCTCCCGCAAAGGAATCTTATCCGTACCTGTAAAAGAGAATCATAATTAGCGCGCTGATAAATCACATTTAAATTTAGCCGACACAGTGCGTTATTAGCACTCGGAAAATTGAAATTCTCGCGGAGCAAATGTCGCTTAAAGAGCTTCCTTTGAAGAAGTCGGCGCCGAACGTATTAATGAAATCGCTGATCGATAGAACAAGAAAATCCGAAGGAAGAGTCTCGCAGGCACGCGAAAAGGTAATTTTTGCGGCGATGGGTGGAAGCTGATTTTTTCCTCCGCGGTCGTAAAATAATCTAATAATGTGTCAAATTAAAGTTGAATTTAAGCCATAGTGGTGTAATTCGCGACGAACGAATCACTTGAAGCGACGATAAAATAAGTTATGAACTGTTTTATGAGACTCCTTTTACGAACTTGTTTTTAACAATCGCCGTAATGGAAGTACGTGAGGTACGAGTAGTACGATACCGCAATTACGTCAATTAATTGAAACGGTTAAAGACACGTTGGTTTTATTGTGTCTACTGGGTAAGCGAAGCAACAGATGCGCGCAATAGCATTAGGCGTCTCGGTACGAAATACAAAAAGTAGACGAGCAACAATAAAACGAAAATAATAATCCATCATTAATATTATTCGTCACACGGAGCGCCGTAAAGCACAATTTAAAACAACCTTCGGTAATCAATTTTCCAATGGCCCAGACATGGAGTGGATTAAAACTTGTTTATCTTTAAATTAAATCTCGATCTGACACGGGCTCCAGTTACGTTTCTCTCTCTTTATCATAGCGAAAACTCGATTTGTAACACGATTCGCGCTGACAAAAACTTTGACTAATACATTTTTTGTGACGAAGAGCGGAACGCGTATTTATCCAGTCGATACCAAAATACGCTCGATTCCAGAAGTCACGCTCCTGCCAGATGATCGCCGCGAAATTATAAATCGCGCCTGTGAATACTGCAGTTATGAATGTGTAACTAATGGCCGCAATGATTTGTAAAAAGGCGAAAGGACGCGTTTCGACGCAAGGAAAACAACACCGACTAGAATTAAACAAACAAAAATAGATTGTGATTCACTGCACTTCCACTAAATCAACTCGGAATAACACATGACTGCAAAATTATTCAATCGTACGAGATGATGCAAAATGTCAAACATAATAGCTGACTTTTTAATTGTTTATTGTAACCATAAATGTCTATTGCGTCCTTCGATCGGTTCGATTGAACGTAGCAAACCAACGAAGACGTCACTTCAACTAGCACCGTAGTCTTCAAACCACGTAACTAAAATATTTCTCAAGTCGACGAGATAAAAGTGCAACATTCGCCCTCGTCGAAAACGAAAAAATACTTTTTCTAGTCAGTTTTTTAATGCAAGCAAAACGGTGACCGTTGCAGGCCACGCTAGAATCCTCCTCGGTATCTCTTTCGGTAATTATTGAGTCTTCGTTTTGCGCAGAGCGAATAACAAAGGCGCAAATTAATTTGCATTGTAATTGTTTCAATAATTGCTACCAAATACGGTTGTTTAATTTCGCGAAACTAATTATAAGCACGGTATAATTTCCGAGTTAAATTTCTCTCATGAGTTGCAGAGTCATCCGTTTAAAAATTCAAGATTCATCGCTGCAGTTTCAAAGCGACTGTTTACGCTCAAACTCAATATTTATGCGCAACAAACAAACAAAAGAAAAAAAATCGTCCAGAAGAAATCTAATAAATTCCTTAGCAACAGCGCGATTACTTCGAGTCTGTGTCTCGTTCTTGACAATGCGAATATTCCACCCACTATAGCTTGTATGACAAAGTACGCCACTGTAAAAAATTCATAAGCACCATAAACCCAGAAGACCGCATTTGTGAATATTGCATGGCACATCCTGCTCCTTCCGAGGGATTTTTTATAGGTCCGCGTGTGTCCCACAATTAGTTTAGTTTTATGTCGGCAAGTACATAAAACTACATTTTCGGCCTATTTGATGTATTTATGCCGCAATGAAAATCCTCCATAATTAATCCCCGGCTTCCTCGTGTTTGTACGTTTCGAAATCTCTTTTTTACGTTTCCGTCGAAGGAGTCCATGTTTAATCTCCCGAACGCGAAGCATTCACTTCCCATTGTAACTTTTTCGACTACATTACGCCGCGGGCTTTTAAAATTTTTGCACTTGATTTATTTCGAAAACGGCCGGCGATGTGCGGTCGTCTTTAAATAAAAAATAAGGACGAGGCTGCAGCAGAATGCGGAATGTGCAGTACAGGGAAAAAAAGACGAGCATTGTTCTCGGAAAATGGAACACTTTGGTCTTTTCGTGTTCGGCAAGGACACAATACGACGAGGATAAAGAGTATTGTCTCGTAGCGGCTCTATTTTCCATACTAATATGAGAATAGTAATGTTATGAAGCTGCAGCAGGTGAAAGTAACTGAATGCATGTCTGGAGGCGGCGATATGGCCAACTCGACCAGAAAAAAAAAATTGCCCGACGGTTATTCTGAAGTAAATTATTCCCTTGTCCCTGAAGTGCAGCTCAACAAATCCCGCTTCTTTGAAAAATCATGAACGTCTTTTGCAACTTTTCTTTTCTGATAACCTCTATAAAGTAAAAAACCGGTGACGTAAATAACACTCCTTCGAGTTTTTAGATTTTGCATTTTTTAGATGTGTTTCTCGAATTTTCAATTTTTCATTTGCGACGAAACACGAAACTCCAGTGAATGGGCGGCGTCGATGACGGTCGCTGATAAGTAACACGTCCAACTGACCTAGGCTTATGTGGTCAGTTGGACGCGACGGTACTCAAATTTTCGAATTGCAAGTTTGCAAGGAGTTTCTTATGCATTTTATAATATTAAATATATATATATATATATATATATATATATATATATATATTATTGTAAATTTTGGGGATGGCGTCATCTCATTTTGGTTAGCGTTTTACCATCTACACGATATTCTTAATATAGTTACATACAAAATTTCACAACAATCGGTCCAGTAGTCCCGTAAGCAACGTCAAATTTGACGAGTGAAACACATACCAGTTTAAGCTCTAGCAAATCTAACAGAAATATAAAACAAATGGCAATTTGAAAGCAACAACCGACGTCGAGTTAATAACTTTTACATAAATTTAATACCTTCTTCGTTCCTATATTTGTTTTGTATTTGTTACCGCGCCGAAGTTTCTTCTGCAGCAACCAAAAACGTGTCATCGTCTAGGATTCGTCAAAGCCGCCTCGAGCCTCCTTCTCGTGCATATTTCATGCCTGATCCCTCCCCGAGTAATGCAAAGCCCCTCAAAGTCAAACCAAAGTTATTACCAGAAGAAAACAACTGCGGGCAAGAGGGGCGGCGAAGAGCTCCCTCCGACAATGGCACAAGAGCACAGCGAATAAACTGATCCGAGATACCGCGACACGACTGCTACATGACAGCCCTGACAAATTAATAATACGAGTTATCACGGTCTCTTATCAGACCGCGGAGTAATTAGTGGTCCTGATATCTGTTCCTCTCAATTATGCCCTTCGCGATAATGAAACTGTTACGAACTAAGAATAAGCGCGATCTTTCGCATCGCGTTATTGTTAATTGAGCCGTCAAACTTTAGAATTGTCGTAAACCGAATCACTGTCGTCTGAAACGTCGAAAGTGCTTCCTGGCGCTGATGCATGTGGAAGATGGCTGCAGTGGCGTAGCTGCCGGGGGCCGAAGCGACGAATAATTCGGAGAAAAGGATGTTCTGGGGGGGGTCGAGAGGAAAAAGTCACAAATTTAAGGTTATTATATGTCTTTTCGTCTATCCTTCCATCAAAGGAAGTAGTAGCGACACGATTTATGCCAGAAACGAAGCTAAATATCGGCTCAAAATATATACACTTTTGAGATCTTTTTCGTTTTGGGGTCGCGTAGCTCAATGAAATTAGTTGTCGGAAAGTCAGAGTACGCCGATGAATTGCTTGGATTTGTAAAGAAAGTTCTCAAAGCGTTTCGAATGCAACTGAAGGGTCCATAAGCGGTGGCCACGCCACTGGATCTGTTCGTTTCGAGCAACGATCGGTTACATTCATCAACTGCCGTGTTATTTTGACACAGAACGTCTTGTTCCACATAATAAAAGCGCGCTATTTCTCCGGCGAAATATCGCATGCGATAAAGCAAAATTATTGTTCCTGCGAATGAACCGGAATTGTGTATAGAGGCCCTTTATTATTTTTAGCATGATCGTGCCGAGAATGCGCGAATTACGACCATCTTAAAACAACTGCCTTTTCTTTGACTCGTCGCCTGTAAGATCTCTGGCCGGAAAATATTAGATTGATAATCGTCTGAAGTTTGCACTTGGAAGCTTTTATCGCATCAAGTTTTGGACTCGGAATCTGACATAACTTCTTACAGTTTTTATGTTACATCGAGTCTTTGCTCGCAAATACTTTTCGACAAGTTTTACGCTTTGAGAATCGAGACTGCGGACGGCAATACGTTCGATTAATTTGAAATGCGGATGAAAAATGCAGCCCTCTTTTAAATTTGTTCGAAACGAGTGCAGCGTTATAGAGATGGATGGTCTAAAAGCTCGTGCTCATGGAACACACATGCAATAACGCCTTCTTCGGTGCGTTTTTCACACATGTTTGCGTCCCCGTTTCGATCATTCGAAATCTAATGAAGCGTTCGATAACTGCACAAAACAGAGCTTTCTGTGTTTACGCAACTTGCATTTATTCCATATAATTTTATTAACACTATTTAAAATGCTACAGTGATTTCCATAATGCGTTCGGGCGAAACGAATGGACCGCGTTTGTTTTAACATTCGAAAAACAAAAAAGAGGAAAAGGCCATAAAGTTGTACTCTGCCGAGCAGATGATCACGGCGTCGATTGTGATATTGGAAAAAAACTTCTAAACCACGAAAACAAATCTAAAAATTTTTAGCCACCTGCTCAGGTCAAAAGGTAATTCAAAATGGTTAAAAATGGACGGATGTACCTCTAGATATTTTC